CTGAGGAGCCAGACCCCCCGACCGTGAACTGCATGCAGTCGACGGCTTTCCCCTGAACGGGGGCCCTGCGCCGTGCGGCTGCCTAGGGCCCCCGGCCGCGAGGCCGAGCGCGACGGGCTTACCGATGTCGACGCCCAGCTCGCTTGTCACGTGCCCGAGCCGCGACCTGCGCGGGGGCCGTCGTACGCGGTCAGCATCTCCTCGAAGTTGCTGGCCATTGCGATCAGCTCGTCGCGGTCGAACGGGATCTCGGGCACCATGGGGAGCCTCGCGCGCGTCGCCAGGCGGCGGACGAGATTCCGAAGCTGCCAGATCTCCAATCCAGCGTGCCAGCTCTTGTCATTGTGCTCGCCGCCCTTGCCCGTGTTCTTGCCCTTGCCCTCGCGCGAGGCCGCGCTGGATGGCGGGCGGCTCCGCTGCACCAGCGGCAGAGCATCAGCCCAGCTGTCGTCCTCCAGCATCGGCACGGGCGATGGATCGGGAGCCGCAGCGCCCCGCACGGCACCCTCCGCCGCCCCGCCCCCGTCGTCGACCACCTCCATGTCGAGCGGCGCCATGTCCGCGGCTGCTCCTCGGCCTCGTCCGCGCGGGCGGCGCCGCCGCCGCGGGGCGGCGGGTGGCGCGGCCGCCTCAGCAGGCGGGGCGGGAGCAGGCGGCGGCGCCGCCAGCACGGCCACGGCCGTGCGGAGGAGGCCCTCAGCCGCGCGCAGCAGGCGCACCGCGTCGCGGCCGCCTGCGGGGGCGCGGGCCGCCAGCCCAGCGGCGGCGTGGACCGCGAGGAGCGCGCCGCGCGCGCCCTCGAGCGGTGCCGCGCGGGCAGCCATCGCCGTACCAGGCGTCGGCGCGTCGGCGGCGGGGCCAGCAGCGAGCGCGCGTGAGCCAAAATGGTACTTGAGCCAAAATGGCTACGGAGAGGAGGAGGAGGAGGAGGAGGAGGACGACGAGGAGGAGGAGGAGGAGGAGGAGGAGGAGGAGGAGGAGGAGGAGGAGGAGGAGCGGAGGCGGAGGCGGAGGCGGAGGCGGAGGCGGAGGCGGAGGAGAGGAGGAGGAGGAGGAGGAGGAGGAGGAGGAGGGAGGAGGAGGAGGAGGAGGAGGAGGAGGAGGAGGAGGAGGAAGGAGGAGGAGGAGGAGGAGGAGGAGGAGGAGGAGAGGAGGAGGAGGAGGAGGAGGAGGAGGAGGAGGAGGAGGAGGAGGAGGAGGAGGAGGAGGAGGAGGGGGGGAGGGGGAGGGGGAGGGGGAGGGGGAGGGGGAGGGGAGGGGGAGGGGGAGGAGGAGGAGGAGGAGGAGGGGGAGGAGGAGGAGGAGGGCGGAGGAGGAGCAGGGTGAGGTGGATGAGGGGGAATATGGGCTCAGGACGGCGGAGGTGCTCTCTGTCGAGGGCCGCGAGATTCTCGGAGGTCCGCCAGGAGATGTCATTGGTCGGCGCCGGTGCTGGCAATATCTATGTCCACGTCCGTTGCGTCTCGGGCTTTCTCGGAATCACCGAGCGCGTTCCACTACTCGCAAAGTGTCTTCTCGCAAACGTCCGAAAAGTGCATGTCTGCATCGATGTAAGGTATCGTGAATCTCCCATGGCGGATCCAGGCCATTTGCGAGCAGTTGCTTTGCGAACGGTGGAGCGCGCTTGTCTACGGAGGGGGCGCCGCAATAGGCCGAGGCGCACTGGATGTGGATGAACAGGTCGAGCCTCTGGGGGCCGGAACTTCAACCATAGCCGGTGCGCATCGGCTTTCTGGGGGAGGGGGCCCGAGACTTCAAGCTGCAGGGGATGTGGACACAAGTCAGGAGGCAACAAAAAAACACAGACACAATTAATCGTCGATTCCCGGGAAAATATAGGAACATATGGGAAGTGGGGGGGGAGACAAAAACCCAGAAAACATAGGAAAATAGGGGGAATACTTTTATTTGTGTGTATTTATTTGTGTGTCCCTGGGCCCCTTCAACAAGTCTTGCCCGCAGCCCGGACCCCGCCCCTCCCCACGCTCCGTCCACGGCGCGCGGAGCGCGCCGGGTGTGCGGGGAGGCGGCCCAGCGTTGACGCAAGACAGCCCCGCGGACCTTCGAGCATGTCGGGCTCTGATGTTTTTTCTGTGACCCGTGCCTTCCCATCCTCGTGTTCGATGCTGTCGCAGCCGCCTCCTGGTCACTGCCTGGTGCCTCTTTCTCCCAGCCTCTCTCCTTCTCTCGCTCTTTGTGTGTGTGTGTGTCTCTCTCTCTCTCTCTCTCCTCCTCTTTCTCGTTATCTGTGTGTGTCTCTCTCTCTCTCTCTCTTGCTCTCTGTCCAGATTTCGTCTAAAATATGTGGTCGTGCCTTTACGGTAGGTCTGTGTCGTGTCGACTTTCGGCGACCCGGGCGCGCGACTTCAAGGTTGAATTCCGCGGTGCGCGAGCGCATTAACGTTTGAATGATCGGCGGTGTCTCCTCCGTCCCCTTTCTCTCTCCCTTCTCTCCTCCTTCTGCCCCCAGAACGTTTACCTTTGAACGATCCTGTCGTCCCCTTCGGTATCCCTTGTTCTCTCCCTTCTCCCTACGATGACGAAGGCCAGGGCCTTCGGGGAAGAAAGTAGCGTGCGTTGATTCACACATACTCTGCAAAAGCACGCTGCTTTGGGCCCACGCTCGCTAACATATGTAATTTCTCTTGTGCGTGAAATCTCTTGGGCCCGTTCTTCCACCCATGTCCAGCCGCATTCGTTGTTCATGTGCGGCCCCGCCGCCACATTCGTTATTCAAGTGTGGTCCCACAGCGCTGGGGGACGGGGGTTGGCTGCCCGCGGACGCGTGGATCCTCTTGGACCATGGTCCCATTAGATGCCTTGGTTGTGGGTCGGAGACCTCTCGGATGCTTGGGTTGTGTGTCAGGGTCGTCAGGCTCGCCACCGTGCCTGGGTTGTGGGTCAGAGACACCTCGGATGCTTGGGTTGTGCGTCAGGGACCTCGGGCTCGCCACCGTGCCTGGGCTGCCGGACAGAGACCTCTCGGATGCCTGGGTTGTGCGTTAGGGACCACAGGCTCGCCACCGCGCCTGGGTTGTGGGTCAGAGACATCTCGGATGTCTGGGTTGTGCGTTAGGGACATCCGGCTCGCCACCGTGCGTGCCTGGGTTGTGGGCCAGAGACATCTCGGATGCTTGGGGTGCGCGTTTGGGGCGTCAGGCTCGCCACCGTGCTTGGGTTGTGGGTCGGATGCATTTCGGATGCTTGGGTGGCGAGTTAGGGATCTCAGGCTCGCCACCATGCCTCGGTTGTGGGTCAAAGACATCTCGGATGCCTGGGTTGCACGTCAGGGACCTCAGGGTCGACACCGTGCCTGGGTTGTGGGTCAGAGACATATCGGATGCCTGGGTTGTTCGTCAGGGACTTAATGACATAACAAATGACAAAAAAAATAAACACAAGTGCCTGGGTTGTGGTTCTGAGACTTCTCGGGTGCCAAGGTTGTGCGTTAGGGACCTCTGGCTCGCCACCGTGCTTGGGTTGTGTGCTAGAGACATACCGGATGCCTGTTTTGTGCGTCAGGGACTTAATGACATAACACATGACAACAACAAATATCCAAAAACACATGGAAACACAAGTGCCTGGGTTGTGGTTATGAGAATTATCGGATGCCTGGGTTGTGCGTCGCGGACCTCAGGGTTGCCGCCGTGCTTGGGTTGTGTGTCAGAGACATCTCGGATGCCCGGGTTGTGCGTCAGGGACCCAATGACATAACACTGACGACAAAATAGCGCCCAAAAAATATGAAAACACAAGTGATTGGGATGTGGTTATGACACTTTTCGGACGCCTGGGTTGTGCGTTAGGGACCTCAGGCTCGCCACCGTGCCTGGGTGGCGTGTTAGGGACATCTCTGATGCCTGGGTTGTGCGTCAGGGAACTACATCTCGCGACGAGGACTGGGGCATCCTGGGGGTGGCGTGAGTGGCGGATCCTCGTGTGGTCCCAAGCGCCACCCCCCAGGAGCCTCAATGGCCTAAAGGCATAACAAACAACAACAAAACAAGAGCAACACAAAATATGGAAACACAAATGCCTGGGTTGTGGTTATGAGACTTATCGGATGCCTGGGCTGTGGGTCGTACACACTTCGGATGCCTGGGCTGTGGGTCATACACACTTCGGATGCCTGTGTTGTGGGTCAGACACA